TCCCAGAGCTGGACACAGTACTGCAGGTGGGGTCTCACCAGAGTGGAGCAGAGGGGCAGAATCACCTCCCTCGCCCTGCTGGCCACGCTTCTTTTGATGCAGCCCAGGATACGGTTGGCCTTCTGGGCTGCGAGAGCACATTGCTGGCTCATGTCCAGCTTTTCATCTATCAGTACCCCCAAGTCCTTCTTGGCAGGGCTGCACTCTACTCTGCTCTGGTGAGACCCCACGTGGCGTACTGTGTCCAGCTCTGGAGTCCGCAGTACAGGAAAGACATGGACCTGTTGGAGCCAGTACTGAAGAAAAAAGTGTCAACCATGCTACAATTTTTTGTTTGCCTTGTCTTTCTCCTTACGAATTGCATTTTATGTTTCTTGAGATGTTGTCTCTCGGGAACTAACAAAAGCAATAGTGTACAGTAAATAAAAAGATAGTTTTGGATCGTTGTTCTGCTTGATTATCAAAAATTAGTACAGTCAATTCTTTTGTTGCTTTGCTGTTGATTTATCTATCTGTATCTATTATCCAAGACAGTCAAGACAGTCACATGAGTAAAATATAGTAACCTTTTCTTCCTCTTGTTCTCTCATTTCCTTAGTAGTTTAAATCTTCATTAAAGAGGGTAAAGGAAATCTTCCAAATTGTGGACATAGCTATGACTCTTTCTGCTCGCTCACTTTTGTGTAGTTACTTAACTTGTGTGAACAGATTGATTTATTTTCTGGAAGTAAGAGAAGAGGTAACGATGATGATGTATGGATTGGTCTGAAGGGTTTGTCTTGCTGAAAAACACAGCCTTCCAAACTAAATAAGTATCATTCAGGTTGTCTCAAAGAAAGGAAACCAGCTATCACTAGTCAGCTTGAAAGCCTTGTCCTGGAGGGCTATCCTGTATTTCCTGGAAAAAATTCCTCAAAGGAAAGGGAATTCTGCAGAGATGAGTCATGGAAGAGAAAGAAACGCTCAGTGGGTTCCAAGGAGACTGTTAGACAATAAGTGGCCCCAAGCAGTTAATGCATAAATGCCTTTTTGAGAGACCTCTGGACTTGAAAATATCCCATGAAAACCTCTATAAAAACTGTATTCCTGGAGGCAGGATAAAGCAAGGGACTACTACTGATGCTGTTCTCTTACGTGCTAACCAGAAAAGGGTGGGTCATCCTCACAAAGCTAATCATGATCATCCCCTCCCTGTAATCAAAAAGCAGTCTCCATAAAGAGATTTTTGTCATGGAAAGTGTGGATCAATTTCCACATCAGACATAAGCTGAAGAAGAAAAATGTTTGCAGTGTTTGGCTTCATTATCTGGTACTCAGAAGCAATTGCTTATCTAGCTCAGAACGTAATTAGTTGCTCAAGCCATGTTTGCTGCTTTCAGTCCATAAGTCTTCCTGAGAGAAATAATTCCTAAAGACATGAAGTGATTGTATTATTTAAAGAGTAAATTATCTGGAATAAAGCAGCTATCATCTGCATCTTATAAACTAGAAACAAATGAGCAGTGGAAAGGTTTAACAGAACTCTGAAATTCATATTGCAGGTACTAATTGAGGTGGTGGTGACTGACTAACAGTGGTATCCCCTTTTTGCTGGCAGTGACATTATCTCAGTAAAATAGATTTGTCCAGTCTAACCTTACATCTTGAAGAAAGGTTAAAAATCAGTTGGCTATTTTTACAGGTTAAGGCAATACTTAACTAGAAGAAGAAATGTGCCACTGAGTATGCACAGACATCCCACAGCAATGTTAAGTCTATAAGGGATTTGGTACAATGAAATTTAATAATGGACTCTTCATCTTTGTTTAACTCTGTGTTGCAAAAATATCGGGAGCAACTATCTTAGGTCATCGAAGAAGTTATATATGTTAAAAATTTCTAAAACCTGCATAATTAGGGTATAGCACAAGTTGTGTGTATTAATATGTTACAAGTCTATAACATTGGGAGATGGTATAAATTCCCAGGAAAGTGAATAATTTTCTCTCCTCTCACATCTACATGTTTTCAGAAGGAAACCTTTTAGCGGGTATGAACTTACATTATGAGTTAACCTTCTCTGATCCTGCAGAAATCAGGGAAGTTTTACAAAAGCACCTACTCTGCCTTTCTATTTTCTCATTAAATTCATAACAACCTTACGAAAACCACAGAGCCAGCTCACAAAGGAGGTGGGTAATCCATAAATTATTGTAATGAGCACCTTAGCAGGCAGCCAGCTAGGATATCTGGAGAGTGGCGTAATGTGTACTGCCAGAAACTGCATGGATTGGATGACCAGGACATAAGAAGTGTTTTTCTGTGACCAGTGGTAACCAGGAAGGCTTTTTGTCACATCACAAGATGGCAAGGAGCACACCTGAATCCTGAAGATCCCCCAAGAAGTTGCCATCTTCCTCTCGCACCCTGAATAAAAGTAGTCACCTGAGTGGTGGAAAATGCTGGTTCAGTGTACCCATACTCTGTGAACATTTCATGGAGCTGAGAGATGTCCCTTCAAATGCTTTTTCTGAATCTGATGGAAGAGGGAGAACCCAGATAACAATTGGGCTCCATTGGGTTAAACACCAGGTTTGGTATCATCAGCTCCTGTACAGTGGCTCAAGCCCTTCGGTTTATTAAAAAAAAG